CACCGGAACTTCCTGCAGTTCCTCACCACTGAGATGAGTCTCTTCTTCCCCTCCTCTGTGGTGTTGTATTCCTCTGGGTCAAACTCCTCCAGAACCTCCTCCGACATCAGCAGCATGTAGGCCAGAGCCGAGCACTGGACCTCTGAGAGCTTCTGCTGGGACCTGTTCTGTGACTTCAGGAACTCTATGATCTCCTGAAAAACTGAGAGGTCTTTCATCTCCATCAGGCAGTGGAAGATCTTGATGCTCACGTCCGGAGAGACGTAACCCTGCATCTCCTTCAGGTTGTTGCTGACCCTCTGGATGGTTTCTGGACTGTAGGCGACCCGACCCAGCGGTTCATCCAGCCTCTCCTGGTTGGATTTCTCAGAGAGGCCGTGCAGGAAGCGGACCATCAGGTCCAGGTGGCCGTTTCGACTTTCCAGGGAAACCTCCATGACTCTCATCAGGAAGGCATCCAGAGTCGCCCCCGAGTGTCTGGACATCCAGTCCCTGCCCAGGAGGTCCTGCAGAGCCTCGGTGCTTCTGCTTCTGTGGCAGTGGAGCACATAGACGGCAGCCAGGAACTCCTGGATGCTCAGATGGACGAAGCTGTAGAAGGTGTTCTTGTACAGCTTTTTCTCTGGCTTGAAGACCTGTGTGAAGACTCCAGAGTACAGCGAGGCGTCTGTGATGTCGATGCCGGACTTTTCCAGGTCGGATTCATAGAAGATCAGGTTTCCTTTCTGCAGCTGCTCAAAGGCCAGTTTCCCCAGAGACTCCACCAACTTCCTGATTTCTGCACTTTCTGTGGCTCCATCGCCATACTTGTCCCTCTTCACTTTGGTCTGAACCACCAGGAAGTGGATGTACATCTCAGTCATGCTCCTGGGCAGCTGCCCCCCCCCTCTGGTCTTCAGCTCGTACTCCAGTACGTCAGCAGAGATCCAGCAGAAGACTGGGATGTGGCACATGATGTGGAGGCTCCGGCAGCTCCTGATGTGGGAGATGATGCTGCTGGCCTGCTCCTCATCTGGGAACCTCTTCCTGAAGTACTCCTCCTTCTGCTCGTCGGTGAAGCCTCTGACCTCCGTCACCATGCTAACACAGTTAGTAGGGATCTGATTGGCTGCTGCGGGCCGTGTGGTGATCCAGAGGCGAGCAGAGGGAAGCAGGTTCCCCCTGATGAGGCTGGTCAGCAGCACGTCCACTGAGCTGGACTCTGTGATGTCAGTCAGGGGCTCCTGGTTACGGAAGTCCAGAGGAAGTCTACTCTCATCCAGACCATCAAAGATGAACACGACCTTGAACTTGCAAAATCTGCAGATTCCTGCTTCTCTGATTGCAGGAAAGGAGTAATGAACAAGTTCCACCAAGCTGAACTGTTTCCCTCTCAGCAAGTTCAGCTCGCTGAAGGTGAAGGGAAACAGGAACTCGATGTCCTTGTTGGGTCCGCCTTCGGCCCAGTCCAGAGTGAACTTCTGGGTCAGGACTGTTTTCCCAATGCCAGCCACCCCCATCGTCAGCACACTAATTTTTTCTTTTGCTCCAGGCGGGCGTTCAAGGATGTCTTCCAGTCTGATGGCTGTTTCTGGTTCGGCTGCCCTCCTGGAAGCTGCTTCAATCTGTTTGACTTCGTGTTCCTTGTTTAACTCTGCGGTGCCTCCCTTTGTGATGTAGAGCTCAGCGTAGATCTGGTTCAGGGGGGTTTTGTTTGGTTCTAAATCAAACCCAACAGTGACCTTCTCAAACTTCTCCTTTAGCTCAGCTTTCAGGTTCTTCATACACCCCTGTTTGATCTCTGGATGGAGACAGAACGAACCCTTTATTGTTACAGACCAGGTAGAGTCAGCTGACTACCGGCTTTAAAACAGTAGTTAAGTTCAGGTTTCGTATTTTTTGTGTCACGTTTATGTTTTCAGTTGAAAAATATACAAAATTATTGTAATTCTCTGTGTTGTCCTTGATATTGAACCACACAGACTCATGACAACGTTTGTTTATAATATCGTAAACCCAATCACAAATCGCAATATATTCCACAATAATCGTATTCGCACATTTTCATCCAATCGTGCAGCAGCACAGGGCAGGGTAGAGTAGGGTAGGGCAGCATAGTGTAGGGCAGGTTAGGGCACCCCCCACCCCCGTCCCCCCAAGAGCAGCACCAAGTATGTTCTAGTGGAAAAACCCATCAGAGGGACTCACCTTCAGGGTCTGTTTGGGGGAGATCCAAAACCAGATTATTCATGCCGATTTCAACCAAAATCATTTTAGTGACTTTGACTGTGTAGATACAGTACGTGTTGACCATCAGATCCACCGTACCCTTCCTGTCTAAATTCTCCAGTTTGGATATTGGAATTGATGCGAAGTCTCCAAGGCTGTCGGTCAAATGCCACTTAAATAAGTCGAACTCATCATTTCTTAATTTCTGCAAAGTCTGCAGGAGGACTTTCCTCGTGGTCTTTCTCCTTTCTGCTGGGGGTTCTGCCATCTTTCACTCTGATCAAACCAAAAGAGAGAAGGAGAACGGTGAGAAGCAGCATCAGGAGCCCAGCAGCATCCTGGTCTTCTGCAGGAGGTCGGTAATGAGCTTTAACCAGGTGTAACCTACTTTTATGTTTATGCATTTAGCAGATGCTTTTATCCAAAACGGTTTACAAAGGAGAATATATACATGTGTAAAAATCCCTGGTCTTAACTTAAACAAGTTTGATCAGGTTTAACCAGATTTGATGTTAAACCTCATCTCTGAAAGATTCTCTGTGATGGTGTTTAACCAGCTTTGGCCTTTCTAAAGAGGTGTAACCAGGTTTAATTGTTTCTGAGCCCGTCCCTGCGCGCATGCGCCATCAGGACATCGGTAAAATTAGATTACATTAGATTATTTTATATTTATATTATATTGTAATAAATATTTA